AGTTCCGTCCACTGCCAAAGATCATGCTCTGCATATGAAAAATTAGTCTCTACATTTTCTTGTGTATTAGAAAACTAAGCTGAATTTAAAATAAATAAATAATAATAATAACAAAACTGAGGGGAAATAAAAAAAAAAAATAATTAAAGGACCTCTCAGGACACCATAGCAATTTCACTGCAAGGACGTTTTCATGGTGTGAGGAGGTCCCAGATGCAGTCTTACTTTTGGGGGTTTAAAAAGAAAATGTCTACTGAATGGAGTTGTGATAGGTTGAGATCATAAGTTGAAGCCTATCAGTGATGCCCAGTCCGAATCTTCCTCGAACCCAGCAAATGGGCACTGTATTTCAAACTTTTGGGGTTACATTGTTTATTAACAGAAGACCAGTGTGCCCTAACACAACTTCCTGTCCGACCTTGTTTTATCTCTGGCCTTATATCTCCCTCAAACCTTCCCAATCTCCATCTACTAAACCTTATCTCCACTCTCCCTTTTTACTCAATCTCCCTTTTGTCAAAGCCTCCACTCATTTACATCAATCCTTCCTAATTACCAGTCCATCAGTTATTCAATTTCCCTCACTGCTTCCGTAAGCAAAAGTCTCTTTCAAGGACAGGGTATGTGGAATCTATAATTATCATTTATCTTTACTCACGTAATTGATATTTATCTAGTGCAATTTCCAATTTAATTTGCTAATATCATGCAAAACCACTTTTATTTATATTTCAACTGTTAGATTAGTGTGCAGAAGTATAAACATAATTAGCATTTATATTTTCTTAAATTAATCATTGCGACAACATATGTCAATGTATCACTAGCCGTCTTATGCGATATAGTGTAGAAGAAAGGCCTGGATATTTAAAATGCAAAATAAGTTGTTCTCCTAAATTAAATTTAAAGACTATTTTCTGTGCATTAATTGCATATGCATTTATGATAATTATGGAAAGAATATCGCTCTGCGTTATAGACATGCATATTCATTGATGTCATATTCTGTATCTTTATAGCGATGAATTACCATATATCTGCTCTGGTTTGCTACCATTAAGACCCTTTTCTTAAAAGCCTACAAACAGAGCATTGATGTATTAATTACAGTGTCCAAATAGACAGGCTTTTTTAAAGATGCACTGCAATTAAAATTCATTTAAAAAAAAAAAACGCACACAAAATTAATTAAATAAAAACCTTCAGCAACCACATTGTAGTAAGTATTGCTTTATTTGTATGTCCCAGGATGCATTTCAATATTTGAATGCTCAGTGATAATTGAGGTTTAATTAACAAGGCTTTGGAGATTATGATCAGAATGTGTGATTTTCTGAGTAGCTCCCTGTGTTCTAAAACTGTGGGAAGCCCTCTATAAGTTGTTATGGGGCCTGGAGTGCTCATTTAAGAAAAAAGAAGATTTCTGAAGGTAAGTATGAATTTTGTTACAGGTATTAGGTTACCCCCTTTATATTCATTTTGAAATTTGAATTTTGTTTTGTAGTGTTGAAAAGACAAACAAACGATAGCATAATAATAAAGGGTTAACTAACAATAGCAGAACATACTGCATTTTAGCCACAAATGGTCAATGTGGCTTTCTGAATAGGCACATCGAGAAATTTAACAAACAAAATTTAAACATGCTACATTTTAGACACAGTTGTTTAGCTCAATAAAGTAAACTAAAGGCTTCCAATTTCAACTTAATCAGCCCTCATCCTATATATTAGTAAAAGAACAATGTTTCCAAAGTAAAATCAAATGCTGCTCATGGAGGGTGGTGGCAGGCAGGCAAATGCTGCTCACGGAGGGTGGTGGCAGGCATGCAAATGCTGCTCACGGAGGGAGGTGGCAGGCAGGCAAATGCTGCTCATGGAGGGTGGTGGCAGGCAGGCAAATGCTGCTCACGGAGGGAGGTGGCAGGCAGGCAAATGCTGCTCACGGAGGGAGGTGGCAGGCAGGCAAATGCTGCTCACGGAGGGTGGTGGCAGGCAGGCAAATGCTGCTCATGGAGGGTGGTGGCAGGCAGGCAAATGCTGCTCATGGAGGGTGGTGGCAGGCAGGCAAATGCTGCTCACAGAGGGAGGTGGCAGAAGTGACCCACCTAGAAAAGTGATGCCTAAGGTTGAAAAACTAGCTATGTATATAATAATAGCTTAGAGAAAATAAAAATGCAAGAAAGTGTAGACAGCAGAAATAAATGAATTGGCTGTGGCCTAGATGATAGCATCCATGATGTCAGAGTTCGTCCAGGTCAGGTAATTTTTATCAAGGCAGATGTTGGTTTTGCTCCCACCGGGTAGCTGAATAATGTTGATGTCCTGTTGTACTGACAGATAGCCTGGAGAGACATATAGATTTGGACCCCTGGTCCGTCCAGTTATCCAGACCTATAGACGGTCTCCCCAGAAAAGAACAACAACTCTTCAATAAGATAACCCTAGCAGCCAGAAGGGCCCTAGCTCAGGCCTGGCTGAAGCCCACGATACCGACAGACAACAATGTGATAGTAAAAATCAAAGATACATATCTGATGGACAAACTCACAGCCCAAATTAGAAACACAGAAATATCATTCCATTAAAATCTGACAACCCTGGGAAGACTATGCTAATGAATAAACTCCCCCAAACCAAACAAAGACAGAGGTCCTGGAGGGGACCTTGGCCCGCCACCTGCCCAGACAAACAGCGTCTCCCCCCCACCATCAGCTCGCTCCATTCTCCCCCCCACCTCCCCTCCTCCAAACAGGGAGACAGTGCCCATAAACACCTCATTGCCTCACACAAGCCACAAAATAAGATCCTAACAGTTAGAAGGGTAGTACTAAAATATGGCGCTGGCACGGCAGCTCCAGAACCTAAACACACAACTCCCCAGGGCTTGAGGAAAGAACCCAATTGGACACCAAAGTCCCTGACTGGATAGGTAACCTGGATAGGGAAACGCACAGGGTGGGACGATAATACGGGCTAGCGCCAGGAACAGGTATGCACGACCTTAGCGACCTACACCACATAAGTTCAATCCAACCGGAACAGTCGGCATTGAAAACTAACGCACATCTAAACTAATATGCACGACCTTAGCGACCTACACCACATAAGTTCAATCCAACCGGAACAGTCAGCATTGAAAACTAACGCACATCGTAACGAACTGTTCCTTGTAGAGACACAGAACGCTTTATCGAATGTGGGTCTGTTTTGTCTTGTTTTGTCTTGCTTTGTTTTGTTATGTTTTATGTGGTTAAGTGGACACGATATGTCCACCAAAATTGAAAACGCGACAATGAGCGGCAGACCACGAATGTTATGTAAACTGTAACACCATTTCTCTTCTGTAACATGCAATGTAAAAAATTATTTATTCCCGGCACCTGTGTGAGCTGAAGTATACTGTGATGCCGTTCTCTGTGTCGAGACAAAAATAAAGAATTTTTTAAAAAAACAGTGGCCCAACATGCAGAATTAAGTCAAACACGGAAATATAACAAACAGTAAAAGACGTATTACTGGGCCTTAGAATGGCAGGTCTTAACGTATATGAATAACCAGTAATGAGGTGAGGTCAGGAATACGGAATGAACACAGTCAAAGGGTCGTTGATACCTGAAATACGGAAAGTCAAGTCAAGCCATGATCAATAATCAAATAAACAGTAAACAGGAACGCGCTTTCGGATGACCAACACAGGATGGAAACAACGACAGGGCACTGAACAGCTGTAGGTTTGAGTTAAAATAACCCTGTAAACCTGCTACTTGCTAAACTTGGTCCCATGACCCCAGAAAGTGTGTGCACGGTGAAAACGTGACGCCGCGTGCACTTTCAAGTCACTAGTGACGTCATCATGGGCAGCACTGCCATATAGCGCCGTCTTGCAGCTGCCGGCCCCTTCCTAACACTGGACCTGGCCGCTGTCACAGGAGCTGTCCGAAGGGTGAGTAACCTCTCCCTCCTTTAGTGTGATCGCACAGATCAGATGCGGTCACATCGTGGTGCCGTTCAGGCACTGTGACATCGGGTCAATGAGCTTCCTTTGGTTTCCATTAGTCTGTGTCCAGGACCCCAGCAGTATGGTATAGCATTGTCCCTTAGAAGCTTGGTTGTATTGGTGCCAAGCAATAATGGAACAAGAAAAGTCCCCATAGAAAGCAAGGAGAAGGCCTTCAAAAGTGTATGTAGCCATAATTATCTTTTTATCCACTTCAGAATGGAAACGTATCAGTATGTCCCTAGGGACGTCTGCTGGTGCATTAGCAGGTCTGATCACTCAAAAGTAAGAGTCAGCTATGATGCCTTTAGCCCTAGAGTGGGGTAGCAAGGAAGACCAAAGCCTTCTGAGCAGTTGAGGTGTCCTGCAGGCACTGACTCAGGATCTTTTGCAAAGCCCCCCACCCGTCTAAGGTTTCCATCAATGTCCAATCAACGTCCCAATGCAGAAGTCTTTGCAGGGCTGGTGCTCAAAGCAAATTACCTGCCTCTTGAATTTAGCTCCTCTGAGCTAAACTACAAGGAAGAAACAGGAACAGGTGTGACAAGGTTAATTTCTGAAAGTTCCAATTTATATTTAAATTGGCACTTTTTGCAGACACACTTTTCATACATAAACCACGTTAGGGGTCTGGAGCATTACTTTAATTCCCTTACTGCCCTTCTGTCCCAGCACTACTACCATCATCCAGGCAGTTCTTACTTTTTAGCATTCTCAGTATTTACCACTAGATGGCAACAATCACAGTGATAATCCTAAAAAGCATATTACATCCGTATTTACATTTTAGAGTAGAGGGCTAAGCAATTTTATAACTAGACACGGAGGCTCATATTGCATATCCCTTTCTTTACTGTCCACCAATAGCAGCAAAGAATACAAACAGAATGAAAAAAAAATAATGAACATGCAGTAACATAGGCCCCTCCCCACTCAGGTCCCAGTATAACAGGCAGCACTTCCCTTCCATTTCCCTCTTTCTTTGCTTTTCCCCCGACACAAAGATAAGTACATGTCATTTTTCTCTTCATACTTTCTTATTATACTGGTTTTTTCTCTTTGATATTTTCTGTCAGTCTGCTTACCACTTAAACCTGGTAGCATTCTATAGTTTTTCCTACCATATTTACCTTACATTTATTTGTATTTATTGTATTTATGTATTTATTTATTAATTTTATTTATATTTATTTCATTTTCATTTTGTGTCACTGGTCTTGGCCCTGGTGAGAGCGTTTTTAGCTTTGTCTAGCTGTTTGGGTGACTAACCCATACCTTTTCTCTTACCTATTATTCCCTGCTAATTTTCTCAGCATGCCTAAACCCAGACTATCCGCTGGGTCCACTCCCTCTGGGGAGTCTGATACCCACTCATTAGGAGTGAGGCTCCTGTCACCTCAGACAACTCGCCTACTATGGCTGATGGAACTACCCACCCTGATGGGGCACAGTTCCTAGCGCTGCAGCGCTCAGCGACAGACGCCATTATGGCGGCCATGGGGTCTATGTCCTCCACCCTCTCCCACACCATCACAAGCCCTCTTGCCACGTCCTTCAGACGAGCAACTTTCGGGCCTCTCGACGCCTTTACCGCGTCCCTCTGTGAAACCCCAGGGAGAGGTGTTTAAAGAGGTGTTTAAAAAGGCTACCCATAAGTCCAAGCACCCCTCTGCCTCCAGAAACACCATGACTGGCGTACCTTCGGTCGCCCCAGAAAGTGTGTCCCATCCACGCAAAAGAGCCTTTCCGCGCCAGGCAGAACGGGCGCGGCTATGGAAATGTGCCAGAGCACAGATAGAGAGCGACACCGACTCAGAAATCGGGTCAAATGAGGAGGCAAAGAGCGAGTCGGATACTGACTCTGATGAGGATGCCGCTGATGCTGGTCTTGACCTACTTTCCTCTGCTCAGGCAGAGATGCCCTTAGGCGAGATAGGGATCAGGAACCCCGCGGCTGCGGGGTCCACCCTTGTGGATCCTTTGGGTGTCCCACTCTTCGACCCGGATGATCTACACCATCCGAGGTCGGCAGAGTGGCTCCCGGCTGACCACGTTGCCACATACCTGGAAAATTGGGTCAGAAGACCCTTAAGTAAAGCAGCCCACAACAAATTGAGGGCAGAGTGTCCTAGGCCTGTGGTGCCTAACAAAGTTTGTGACACTCCGGAGGTAGACCCCAAGATGACCCAGTTCCTCACTAAAATGGGCTGGAATCCCCGTAAAAGACTGGAGTCGGCATTAAAATCCTGCCAGGACAAACACCTGGACATATTCAGCCCCTTGGCCAAATTATTTGACTTGGTGGAAGACGCCAGAGCGGAGAACCGCATGGTTGACCCCGAAGACCTTAGAGGTTGGGTCCAGAGAGCAATATGCATTGCTGGGAGTGTAAATACCTCGCTATCTATAGAAAGGCGTAAGGCCATATTATTCAAAATTGAGCCCAAACTGGCCAACCTCGCCCTTACGGAAGCGGGTAAAGACACCCAAGGACTTCTCTTCAGAGATTCCTTTATAAAAGATTTAGGGCGCTTCGTTGGAGCATTCATGGCTCTAGACAAGGCCCAAGCCTCCATGAGGCGAGTATTCCAGGGGCAGGTCTCTAGCAGGGCCGGCAGATTCAGGAGCCGTCTGTCCGGCCGCAGTTACCCCCAATCCCGTGGCATGGGAAGAGGCTCCTTCCAGCACCGTAACCAGTACCAGGATTCCACCTCCCGCCCCACATTTTTTCCATCCCGCGGACGTCCATGGCGATCCAGAGGCTTTCGGGGTAACCCAAGCTCAAGAAGACCATACGGTGAGTTACCTCATACCACACATTTCTTCTCCAGGTTACGTAGGGGGCAGACTCCAACATTTTTTCCCAGCCTGGTCACAAATCACTTCAGACCCCTGGGTACTGACCACTATTCGGGGTTTCAGTATAGAACTCACCAATCATCTCATACACATTCCCCCTCTGCGACCGATCTGCTTTTCCCTCCAGGATCGCAGACGGATCGACGAGGAACTCTCAACCCTCCTTATCAAAGGGGCTATAGAACAAGCACCCCTCAACCCTGCAGGTGTCATAAGCAATATCTTCCTGGTGGAAAAGAAGGGCGGCCAATTGAGACCCATCATAAATTTGCGCCCCCTCAATGCCATAGTCAGGTACCGCCATTTCAAGATGGAAGGTATTCACCTACTAAGAGATCTCCTCCTCCACGGAGACTGGCTAGCGAAGCTAGACCTAAAAGACGCGTACCTGACAGTGCCGATAGCGGCAGCATCTCGAGACCTCCTACGCTTTTACTGGCAGCACGAAACATGGCGGTTCACCTGCCTACCCTTTGGCCTCTCCTCAGCACCGTGGTGCTTCACAAAGCTATTACGGCCTGTGATGGCCTGGCTACGCAGTCGATGAGTTCGACTAATCGTCTACCTAGACGATATTCTCCTCATGGCTCAGGAGCGTTCCACCCTCCTCACACATCTACGGCTGGCCATAAACCTCCTTTCACGCTTAGGTTTCATAATCAACTGGGAGAAGTCATGCCTGACCCCCGCCACTCGCATGGAATTCTTAGGATTCCTGGTGGATTCGGGGGAAGCAACGCTGAGCCCCCCGATATCCAAAATTCGATCCATCCGCAAAGAGTTACGCAGGGCCCTCATCCGGCCCCAGCTCACCTTACACCAACTTGCACGACTCATAGGCCTGCTGGCCTCCTCGATACAGGCCGTGTTCCCAGGTCCGCTCCACTACCGAGCGCTACAGCGCCTAAAGATCGCCCACCTAAGATCCGGGGCATCCTACGCAGATCTGGTATCATTGGACAGCGAGACGAAAGACGAGTTGTGATGGTGGATTCTCATGTCCGCATGGAATGGCAAAGCCATCTTCGGCTCAATGCCAGAATTCACGATCGACTCAGATGCGAGTCTCCACAGCTGGGGAGCCCACTGCGAGGGAGTCTCAACAGGGGGCCGTTGGTCGGAATCCGAATCCCGACTGCACATCAATGCCCTGGAACTCCTGGCAGGCTCCTTCGCCATTCGCAGCTTCGCCAGGGACCGAGCCCTATCATGTATTCGGCTCCGCATGGACAATGTTTCGGCGGTGAGATATGTCAACCACCTGGGTGGTACACAGTCGGCAGTCCTGGCCAGATTGGCGAAAGACTTTTGGGAATTTTGCCTGGAACGGAACCTGATGGTCTACGCGGAATACCTACCTGGTCTGCACAATGTCCAGGCGGACTGGGGTTCACGTTATCTCTCAGACACCAGTGACTGGAGATTGGCCAAGGAGGTGTTCTCCAATATATCGTATCTCTGGGGACCGTTTACCATAGACCTTTTCGCTTCCCAGCTCAACGCCCAACTCCCACGCTTCTTCAGCTGGAGGCCAGATCCAATGGCGGAGGCAGTGGACGCCTTCCTACAGGACTGGAACGGAGGCCTCCTATATGCCTTTCCCCCATTTTCCATGATCCCGCGCTCACTCCTACAGACCCGCCAACCCCCCGGCAGAAGTGGTCATGGTCACCCCATTTTGGGAAACGCAGTCGTGGTTCCCCCAAATGCTCAAGATGACGTTAGACTATCCCCGACTACTACCGGGACACCACAACTTGCTGCAGGACCCGACGGGACGATATCACCCCCTCCGGTTAGAAGGCTCTCTCCCACTCCTGGCATGGTGGATCTCCGGGGACCCTGGGAAATCCAAGGAGTTTCGGATACGACTAGACGCCTATTGGCAGCAGCATGGCTCCCAGCACTAGACGGGCATATGGGTCAGCTTGGCGAGCTTGGGCTGGCTGGTGCATGGCTAGGAACGCGGATCCCGTTTCGGCCTCTGTAACAATGGTCCTGCAGTTCCTGACGTCCCTCTTCGAGGCTGGAAAGGCTTACAGGACTATCAACCTTTACCGATCTGCTATCTCGGCGATTCACCAAGGCTTCGATGGCTGCCCCACGGGACAGCACCCCTTAGTGTGCCTACTCCTCAAGGGTTCTCGATTTTCACGACCACCCAGGCCCCGCTACTCCACGACCTGGGACGTCTCAGTCGTATTGGCTTTCCTCTCATCCTGGCCCGCTAACTCAGGACTCTCCCTCAAACAGCTATCTGCCAAATTGGTTTGCCTGCTCTGCCTCGTCTCATGCAAGAGGGTTTCGGATGTCAGAGCACTGGACTTCGATGCCAAGTCATATACCCCGGACGGGGTAACTTTCAACATCAGCAGGTCGGACTAAGACTTCCATCAAATCGGTATCCTACCCTAGTTTCCCTACCTCTCCTTCACTATGCCCAGTGGCCTGCCTTCGCGAATACGAGACTCGCACCAACCCACATCACTCTACCGTCTCTCCTCAGTTGTTTTTATCTTTCCGTCCTCCTTTTCACCCGGTTTCTAGCACTACCTTGTCACGATGGGTGAAATGGCTGTTGTCCCAAGCAGGTATTGATACCACGATATTTGGCGCCCATTCGGTCCGGGGGGCATCAGCCTCTTCTATGATGTCGGCAGCCGCACGCCTGGAGGACATTATGAGGACGGCTAACTGGTCTAGGGAGTCTACATTCCGAGAATTTTACTTTCGGCTGGCCCCACATACATTCGCTGCGGTAATGGATCAGCTTTAAACTTGCAATATTAGCCTCCGTGTCTTGTTTTAAAATTAAATGATTTTGCTATTACATGACGAAAAGTTATGATTTTATTAAAGACACGGAGGCGAGTATTGTCCCACCCTTTTTCGTTCTTACACAGTTGTAATAATAATAATTTTCCCTCCCAGAATTACTCATACTACAATACACCGCATAGTATGGTTCAGTACGGTAAGTGGGGCCATACTTAGACAATGATGTTTCTGTAATGCTGGGTATATCAGTTGTTTTGTGGGACTGTGCATATGTGGGTTATTTTCTCACCCGTGTAACCTTGAAACTAGTTACAAGTATCGACTTTAACCTGTCGGCTCCTGTTCCTTTATGTTTTCACAGCTTAATCCGGCAAGACGGCAAGGAGTTGTTCGGCTTAGAAGGACTCCTCCCGCGGTTATCCGATGGTCCTATGACTCCTATGGTCAAGCTTCCCAGTTATTGATGTTCTACCCTCTTCAGTTTTAAGTTATTGCCTTGGGAATTTGTTCTCACACTACTCTCGTTCTGGACATTTTACCTTGGTCGCATCTTCAGAAAGAGGGAAATGGAAGGGAAGTGCTGCCTGTTATACTGGGACCTGAGCGGGGAGGGGCCTATGTTACTGCATGTTCTTTATTTTTTTTTCATTCTGTTTGTATTCTTTGCTGCTATTGGTGGACAGTAAAGAAAGGGATATGCAATATGAGCCTCCGTGTCTTTAATAAAATCATGACTTTTCGTCATGTAATAGCAAAATCATGTAATTATCGGCACTCCAGATTTTGTGGTCTACATCTCCACTGATTTGCTAGCATTATGGCTGCAAGAACATTATGGGAGATGTAGTCCACAACATCTGGAGTGCTGAGAGTTACCTACCCCTATTCTAGAGAGTATTAATTACAGTAATAAAAATCTTAGGGAACGTTAATAATTCCCTATTGGACTACAGTGGACACTTATTACTAAATCGCCATTTAAGGAACCAGTATTACAGTTTCTAACTTTTAATGAGCTTATCTGAAATCTTATATGTGTACTAAAACTATTCAGCAACTGGTTTTACTGCTAAATTTTATCTACGCCATTATTTTTACTCTGTTGTACTATTGTCTTCTTCTGTTTTGAAATATTAAAAAGGGCACTAGGTTGTGTACCGAATTTACATTTTTGCATTCTCAGTATTTACCACTAGAGGTCAACCATTACAATGTTAATTTTGGACACTAGGTTATGCACTGTGTTTGCATTTAGGATTCTCTGTATTTACCACCAGAGGGCAACAATTAACAATCTTAGGTACTATTTTACTATTACAGTTCATACAATAAATACATACAATACAAACTGTTGGATCACATTCTCAATATCTACCAGTAGAGATCCTGCACTTTCCGAAATATAGTTGAGTTTCAGACTGAGGGATATATAATGAGTCATACTGAAATACGGATTTTATCCAACATTTGTAGCACAGATCTATATAATGTTCTACGGAAAAAACTTATGTTACGAAGAAAATTTCTAGAAGGAGAGAAAACCCATAGATGCATCATAGAACATATATCACAAATGAAAGCATTTGAGGACTTGGTGATCTTGTTAGCAGGCAATTAATGAGTGATTTCACACAAATAGACAGTTATGGTCTATGAATAACAATTATAATCCCAGGTTTACACACTGTGATTACATTTTAGAGTATTTTATGCTAACTCGACAATAAGTGCACTAACAGTGTCAAACACAGATAATAATTATTATTATCAGATTTATATAGTGCCAACATGTTCCGCAGCGCATTATAATTATAGAAAAGGAAAATGGCCCTTCTCCTTACATTGGTGGATATAGTATGTGTTCTGAGGTGGTCTGACTGGGATTTAGAGCCTTAGTTTATAGTTTATATTTAAGGTATTTTTTTGAGTATTTTCTGTTAACTCAAGAGGTGCACAATCTTACACACAGATCATCCTAATTAGAAATACATTTAGACTGTTATATACATTCGATTTACATATTATCAACCACTAGAGGGCAGAAATTAATACGGTTCCACAGACTAAATTTACATTGCATGAGTCTCAGTATTAACCACTAGAGGGCAACATTTACATTAATATTTTCAAGACACTATTGTAATTTCTGTAACAAATAAAAAGGTGTTGAAAATTTGGTAATTCCCTATTTAGTTCAAAATATTAAAGCTGGAAAAATAACTGAGACTTTTTTTTTTTTAACTTCAGCTATTTTGGTCTAAAACTTCCAGTTCCATGATGATTTCCTAACAAATTGTGATGATGCTGACATTACTGTGGTGGGTGGCTTTAGGGGCTGTATTTGTGTCTGTTGGCTTATTTAAACCCAGACTTTTTTGTAGCTGGGTGGGTATGCCCTGTGTCCTACAGACTTCTGGCTGTACAGATCATCCATGCTGCCCCAAAACCTTGCTAGACAATGCTAGTTTGGCTAGCGACAACAGCAAATATTTGGTAAGTATTAGCATTATGCTTTTCTGGTTTCCTTTTATTAGAGATATCTGAAGATCCAATTCAACAAATAATAAGGGGGGGGGGGGATATTATTTAAATAAAGTCAGGTCTGATAACTTAATCCACAGGTAAGTCCCAAATTTTAGAAGAAAAGGAAAATTTCCTTTAACATAAACCAAGATTCATTCTGCAAAACGTTTGAGGTACGCAATCAAAGTCCATACAATGTCCATTTACCATAACTAATGAGTTAAAGTTCTAAACAGGAAACAGCAGAGGAGATTCCAGAAAGCAGAACCGGTACTCAGGCAAGAGGTCGCATGGTGAAGTCAATTTGTAATGCAGATGGAAGATAGATTTACGAGATTTCAAAACGGCCTATGAGACACGCTGGGGCCTGATGGAGAGTCAGCTGCAACCAAGAGCATTGCTAGGTTCCAGAAACACCTGGGGCCCATGGGAAAACTTGATAACCCTTATACTAACAGCGAGGTGGGATAAGTCGTATTACAGTCCCACCTTTCTTTGTTATTTCCCCTATTCTCTACCTATGAACATCATGTCACTGAAACAGAAACAAACACCAGGTATTCAATATGACGCTACCACAATACATTACTAACAGAGGGGAGTGCAGCACAGCTCCCTAGTACCTCCTCGTAATGGTGCCCCACTACCACCACTCAGTAGGCTTCCATGGCATTACATTATTCTTTCTTTTTAAAACAGGCATCTTCTTTGGGAAGCAGCATGCTTGGTGTTAAATTACAAATAAATGCAATATTCTCCTGTCCCTCCACCAACTGTAGAAATCCAGGGCTAAATAGCCCCAAATATGGGGGGTTTCTATCCCCGACACCCCAAGCAATGCCTATGGCTGCAACAAAAGATTTGATTCCAATACAATTACATCAAGCAGTAACGCGGTTTGATACAGTTATTGGGTTTTGGTTCTTAGTTGACCAAAGAAATACATTTTATTCTCAAAACAAAATATGACCCCCACTTATAAATAAAATATATAAAAAAGCAGGAAGACTGGGGAAGACCACCACACGCTCTTTCTATTGGGAACTAGGAAGTGGAAAATAATAATGTGACAATTATTTTTTACTAAGGCCATTGGGGAGGAACCTAAGGGAAAAGGAGGGAGGGTAATGACATTGGGAGGGACAGAAGGACTAGTGACATTGAGTGGACAGGGAGTACATTTGACATGGGAGAGTACAGGGAAAGCCATTGACAATGGGAATGACAAAGACTTCTACATATATAGGATGTACAATGAGAATAAGTGAATGGATTTTCAAAGGACAGGAGAGATCTGGGGACAATATTTCTATCTAGATGAGCGCTACTACTAAAAGATGCAGTTTCTATTGAATTAAGAGGTGGAACCGTGGGTTTAAATGATAACATTCATCACATTTTCACAAATATTTACTTCTGTTTTTTAAAAACATTTTTATATTTAATGATATATATATTTTTTTTTTATTTATTTTTTTAAGCATTCTTTATTTTTGATTTTTGAGAGTATTATATGTATTCGGTGAATGATACATTTTTTAAAGTGATGTATATTGATTTTAATGAGAACATTTTTACTTTTATCTGACCAACTGCTGCTCATCCTAGCTTATCTGCGGCCGTGTGCTATGTGTGAATCACAGCAAGCAATATAGGCTGAACCACAGTTGGTCAGATAAAAATCAAAATACATTATTTACAAAAATAATTAGGTTTAATTAAATATAATTTATTCAAGATAAAGGATACGGCACTCCCTCAGTGAAAACTAGGTGCATCAAAGACAGGCTTTGGAAAACTCAAATTAAGTAGATATTAGTAGAAAGTAGGTCCATGCACTCAAGGTTTCTTCAAAAAGGCAGATTTATTGAAAACTAAATGTGCAACGTTTCGGCCTACACAAAGGCCTATGTGTAGGCCGAAACATTGCACAGTCAGTTTTCAATAAATTTACCTACTTACTACTAATTAACTATAATTAACTTTCAAAAAATTAGAAGTGAGAATTTGAGGACAGTTGTTCTTTAATAGAAGTAGTAAGTATGTGCACCTGGGGGGTGAGGGGACACTTCACATTATATGTTATATCTTTTGGTAAAGTTGTTTTAAAAAAAAATGCAAATAAATTGATGTAGAAGATAAATTTACATTGCTAAAGAAGTGTATATCAATATTACCATGTATATATTCTGTTTTCACTCCCTTTATCGATGCATTTCTTTTTAGCTTTTGTTTAAAGGGACACTATAGGATCAAGAATACAAACGTATTCCTGACCCTATAGTGCTAAACCCACCACTCAGGTGACTTGCCCCCTCTTAGCCCCCTTAAAAGCAATTAAAACCCACCTTATTTCCAGCACCACGTGGTTCCGTTGGTGCTGGCCCCGCACGCTTGGTGACATAATCAGAATTGCCGTTTTTTTTCCAATTCAATGCTTTCCCATGGGGCCGAATGCCGTTTTTTCCAGTCAGCACCTCCTCATAGAGATGCATTGAAACAAAAAGTCCTCCCTCAAATATCTCTAAATGTCGCACCTGATACTCAATACATACGAGGCTTCAGAGGAAAAATAGCACGGAGGCTCTAAGCCCCGGCCTAATCCAATCGACAATAGACAGTAGCTGCACCTCACCAGTACAGGAGAGGTTCCTGCCAGCCCATTCCAAACACGGGACATACCCGCCCATTGTAAACCAGCCTGCCTCCACAAGGTTTCAGGAGAACAGGCACACCCAAATAGAATATACCACGTGCGGGTGACCCATTAAGGTATTATCCTATTGAACCTACCACTCTTCCAAACAGGTCTGTTGTACTGACTTTGGTCCATACATTTCCACTTAACATGTAACCTCTGTTCTCACGGATTCAAAATACCTTTTTGTTTCTTTTTTTGTGTGGTCCCCTGTTCTCTTTCTTTCTTCTGTTCCTCCTATACCAAAACTTTTTCAACAAACTACAAATTGAAAAAAAAAAATCTCTCTCTAAATGTGAAGTATCTGAAGCAGAAACACTGCACATCAAGACTCCTACCACCATGACCACTTCAAATCACTGAAGTGGTCATGGTGGTTGAAGTAACCCTTTAAAATACATACCCATACAATTGCAAATGTGGCTCTAACCACCGATCCCTATCAATAAGACTACAACACATTGTTGAGGTAGTAAGAGTAACAGGCATAGCCTTTATTTAACATTTTTATTTTTCCAGCATAAACACATAACAACCTGTCAACTGGTGGGGTGACTTCCTGCCAGACAACTAATAAGCATGTGGTTACCGAGAGCTAATTTGCCATTGGCTGTGAAGCAAGTTGGGCCTCCCTACGCTCAAATTGGGCTCTGCTTGTTCACCAAGCTGTAATAAAACAAAGACGAAGAAAACACCAAACAAACAAACAACGGCACAATAGGGAGGGCAGGTGGGACGCTGCTCCTTTCATAATGCCTGGACTGAAAAGGAAGTGGTAAAACAAAGATCTCTTTCCATAACCCCTAACTGCAACTTTGCTGCCACTGTTGACACATTACAGCAGCATGATGCTCACGTGC